TTATATATATATATATATATATATATATATATATATATATATAAAAAATAAACGGACCTTTCAATTATAGTTTTTATTATGGAAGATAAAATATGACTTCAACATTGAGGTTTTACAAGTTCCATCATTTATCCTTGATTAAAAGACATGACAAGCATAAATACTCATGGATCTTAAAATCATTTATCGCCTCTATATAATCATAAGTAATTAAAAGAGAGAGATAACAAGCTAGGATAAGAATAGTGTACCAACATGTCAATGCATGAATTATAAATGTTCAGCATAGGAAAACTAATCACCTCGCATTCTTAGAAAAACACTATTAAACTGTTATTTAGCGTATCTGATACAAAAACCCTCAAATTTATTCATATATAACTAAATGGTATCTTTGAAATTAAATTAGTAGCAACTAAATTGAGATACAGTCCCTCAATAGTCATTTTGAGACTCTAACGTTAGAACCTCTACAGACGAAATTGGAAGTTGAAATTGGAACATTTTCCCAACAACATGATTTTGTGGAATCTGTTGTCAAATACTTAGATAAAAAATTTTATCCAACACACAAACATGAAACGTGTGATGTACACCTATCACATTTTCGCGTTCCACATAGCCCAACATTTACCGTTGAACCAAATTCCTACAACATGGGGATTTCATGGTAGTCGCCAATCATTTTTTTTGAAAAATAAACTTATTTTTGTTTCTTCATAGGAACTCTTTTTATAGATGAACTAATTTCATGAAGAACAAACAACCCCTTGGTCCCAAATAAAAAGGCAACTTTTATCTTCATAGATTAAGAAAAATACAACAGATATTACATAGTAATTTATTCGATTATGTCATATATGTTTGAAAACATAAGGTACAGTAGATGACATGCTTATTCCATACAATATACCTTGTCCATCTATAATTGTGGTGGATAAATGCTTTTTAGGGAAAAAAGCTATGTTACATTTTAAACTATGTTTTTCTATTCAATATTTTAGTGCATACTTCCTTTAATCTTATTCTTGTTGCTTCCTAAAAGTCAAAACAATGGATAATAGATAATTTGAAATAGCCTACTGACATAATTCTCAAATAGGACTTGATCTATGACATATTTAAATAATTGTTTAAAGCCTAAATATCCTTATTCTATGCAATCACTGCAAAGATGTAATTCTTAGAAGAAGTCAAGTTAATACTATGTAATGATTTTGCCATTTATCTTTCATTGAGAATTTCATGAAACACGTTGGTTGCATCAAGATTCAAACCAAATGGGAAATTTCCTTGTT